AAGAAGGGGTCCGGACAGGCGTCTGGCCCTTTTGCAGGAAGCTCCAGTCAGGGCTGATGCTTTCTGGATGGCACTCCAAGGGGACCTTGCTGAGCAGGAAGCCCAGGATCCCTGCAGGAAGTTGGTTTGAGCAGCCTGAATTATGCCACTGTGATGGCCTGGTGTGATCTAGAGGATGATGGGCAGACACTGGAGTCAGAGAGCCAGGTTCGAAGACGCACCTCCTCCCTATGGAAAGGGCTCAGGAGCTGACGTCACAGCGGCACCCTGCCTGATTGTGTCTCGGTCCACAGGTGGAGAATGGGGCTGCTATCTGTCTCTTCAGGCAGTCATGGGAGTCAGAGAAGGGCACTATGGCCTTCGCACGTTGCCTGAGACAAACAGCTCTCATGCACTGAGTACCTACTATCGGCTACGACATGCAGGACGCGCCTGCTTTGTAGAACTGTCCTCAGGCTCTGTGAGATGTGACATGTCTGTGGCTCAGGCTGGGCAGTGAGGAGGCGCATTCCACACTGACTTTCCCCCTTAGGCAGGGCCAAGCAGAGAAGCACCTGCAAGGAGCATCCAGCTCTCTGGGTTTTCCCCCAGTCAGGCCTGCAGCACTGATTCCTAAGTGTCCCCTGCTTTCCCAGAAAGAGAAAACCCCACTGACACGGGGATCCCTGAGAAGGAAGCCCCTTTCTGCCTCTGAGTCATCTCCACAGCTGCAGATGCGACTGAACAGGAGCTCAAGGCGCGAACCTGGAGACAGACATTCCAAACGCGCGGCTCTAGAGGAGCGCCCCGCACAGGAAAGGTCGCATGGCCTGGCCATTTCCAATCCAAACATCTAGCAGCTCACACCCGTTCTGATGCGCCAAAGCTTTGACCTGGCTAGCGTGAAAGGGCCTGCTCACCAGGGAAGGAGCCTGCCCGCCTGCCAGCCGTATGCCCGCCTTGCTATTGGGCTGGTGGGAACCCATCTTAAGCCGGGCACTTTCACATACAACCTGTCATCTCATCGAATCCGCCAACGACCCTGTGCAGTAGGCACCTGTATGTCTATCGCAGAGCTGGGAGCTGTGGCTCACTGTGAACAAGGAACCTTCCTAGGGCCCCCAAGCACTCCAGAGGCAGAGCATTGACCTGGCTGACTCCAAGCCCAGACACTGGCTTTCCAGTCTTAAAGTAGAAGCTGCCAGCAGGCAAGAAAGAGGAGTGGGAAGTTCTGCCTGGAATTCCAATCTATGCGTATGCTGGAGGCAAAACCCAGCCCAGGTGGGGACAGATATGACAGGCGATCAAAGGTCCCTGGCAGCTGTTAGGTATTCATTCATTAATTCAAAAACAACTCATGGAGCCCCTCCCTAGCAGGTGTGGGGCTCCGGGCTGGGAACACAAACACAAAGCAGCCACAGTGGTTGCCCTTGGGCCTCACATAGAGTGGAGAGAGGTCAGGAAGAGGGCTAGAGCATACTGCATCTCAGAGCCAGAGCCAGCCATAAAAGACGTGAGGACTAAGCACCCCTAAAGACTGAGGACTGGAGGAAGAGAGGCCCTAACTCCGCCTACGGGGCCAAGGAAAGGTCCTTGGGGGCTCCACGGTCTTGGGTGTGTGCCCCTGAGGAAGGGGACGGAGGGCTCCCAGTCCCAGGAATATCAAGGTGTGAAGGCTCAGAGGCCAAGAAAACACGGAGAGCTAGAGGGAATTCAGACCCTTGGGGTGGTTTGGGGGTCCTGGGGACAGTGGTGAGAGCAGGCTGTCAGATGTGAAGGACAGAGAACACCTATAATTATTGAACAATGGCGCTCATTGTATAAGCACTGACAGGGCCAGGTGTGGCCACAGCTGCATGTGCCCCACAGGTATGTGCGTGTGTGATCCAAGGTGAACTATTTATTAATGCAAATCCCAGTCACTGGGGCCGCAGGTGGCATGGTGCAGGTGGCATGATGGTCAGCGTGCTGAACTCCCAGATAGCCGACTGTGGTTAGAGTCCCAGACTGGGGGGCTGAAAATCACATGTGGGTGTCCAAATCCCGAGAGGAGAGTGGAGGAAAAGAGATCGCAGTGTGGCCATCCTCCGGGGAGGGAGTTCTCACTTTCCCTCTCTCTGTCTGTCTCTCTCTGCAGCAAGTGCACGTGCCCTATAGCAACAAATCTTAAAAACAAAACAACCCAAAATACCTGCAACCGAAGTTTACTGGGCACTTACTCAGTGCCAGGCATGGAGCTGCTTGCTTTCCATGCTCCTCATGTAATCCCAACACCTCGGGGATGTGGTGGCTTCACCCCCACTTACATAACAGGGACCCGAGGCTTAAGACGTGAAGAAACTTGGCTGGAGGCAGCCTGGCTAGTACAGGCTAGCCTCATTTTGGGCTCAAGCTCCGGGGTTTAGGCCTCATCCTGTGACTGGGCGAGTGGGGGAGGGGAGCTGGAGCGGTGCTGGGAGGGAGCTGTGATCCTCTCCCTGGGTGGAGTTGGAGGGTGGAGGGCCTGTGCTCCAGGCACCCCTCACCCTCTGCTCTGCATCATCCGTGACCTGGGCTGGGCGTCCCAACTAGATGCCGCCCAGCCAACCACTCCCTGCTTGGCACTTTCTTCTTGCACTTTCTTTTTTTAAAAAAATTTAATAATTATTGATTTAATTTTATTTATTCATTCATTTATTTTAATTTGACCAGAGAGAGAGAGAGAGAGAGAGAGAGAGGGAAAGTGAGAAAGCAAGCCACCAGGTCCGGTATTCGAACCGCAATTGACCATGCGGGAGCGTCCAGTGCCTTAACCACCACGCCACCTGCTGGTCCCCATTCTTACATCTTCTTCAATTATGAGAAGTACGGAAGGACGAAACGGGCCCATGTCACAAATTCAAAATAAAATTAGCAAATCTCTCTTCCATGCTCGATAGGAAAAAGATGACTTTTAGAAAAAAACAAAAATGAAACAACTTTTACAAAGTTTACTAACATTCTGTGCAGCATCGAGGTCGGTCACCTGCATGTTCACTGCACCAGACTGAAAAGTGTCTCCTAGCGGGACTTAGGGACTTACTTAGGCCTAACAGCATTCCATTTTAAGCTGCTAACCTAGTAGGGGTTCAAGTAGGGGTTCCGGTCATTCCTAAAATTTTAGGAATTCCTAAAATTCGAGAGAAGGCAGGCAGCCCCTTGTCACCCCCCCTGTTATATATGGGCGGGCTCGGAGAAGTACCACGATTTGCTTGGGACAGTATCAATGGATATCCAGGATGTGACGGAGGTGGAGGTGTTCTACTCCTGTCCCCTCATCTAGCAAGTACACCGACGTAGGTGTCACCATCACCTGGGGGAGTCTGATTCTGTGCCTGAGGGCAGCCAGAGAGCAAAGCCCAAGCCCATGGCCCTTTTAGATGGCACGCAGAGTGTGTGGCGGAGTGCTTGGCAGAGTGTGTGCGCTTTGCCAAGCCTTCCAGGCCCTCCAGTTCCCAGCCGCTAACAGAAAGGGCAGAGGGAAAACTGAACACGACCGCAGCTTGGAGGGGGGTTATTTGTGCCCGTGCCAAAGTCCGTAAAAAGGGGAGGAATGGAAAATCTACGGACACAGGACAAAGTTCAAGCTAGATGTCTGCCTAGGACCAGAGGTCATGGCGCCAACTCCCTGGTGCCATTCCCCTTGCCACGGATGCTCCAGCCCTCCCCCACCCCGTGCCAATGCCAGCTTGGCAATGCCAGGAAGTGGAAACCCAATGGCCCTGGCACTCCCAGCACCCAGCTCTTGCTGGACAGGGCTTCTGGTGACCTCACTTCCACCAAACCAGTTGGTCCTCTGAGGCTCCACCTTCTCGCTTAATGCTGAACTTTCTCTGTCCAGGGAGGGATCTTCCTGGCCCCAGGGACACCCCTGCTACATGCTGCGACCAGGGAGGGAGCTGGTGCAAGCTAACCCGGGCCTGGGAAGCCCACAGCCTGCACCCTGAGGCCTCCCCCTTGTCTCTCTGGGGACAGGAGGCTCAGCATAACAACTCCTATTCTGCCAGCTGCCCCTCCTGCAGCTGATCCAAACTGGGATCTTTGAGAAAAAAACCAAACATGGGTAAAAAGCAACCAGTCTGCTTGCTGCCAGGCACTGGTGGGCAGTGACGATGCCAGGGCAAGACCACCTGCCCGCCCGCGGTGGGCTCCGCTGGCCGCTGCATGGCCGGGTGCCACAGGACTCCTCCTCCCCCCAGTCATCTTTCTCCTCTCCAAGATCCTCCCTCCCGATCCCTGATACAAACTAGCGCTTACTCCTCACATTCCTGAGAATCATAAATCCTCCTGGGTGGCAACCACCACCCCCAAGACGCCTCTGCGCCTCCTCCTCGCACTCCACCCCCACACATGGGCCGAGACGGTGGAGTTTCCCCTGGCTTTCTTAGAAGGTGCACTAGACTTCCCGAGGATGAAGTCCAGCCGAGCTCAAGTTAATGATACACACCCCAGCGGGCAGTGGGGGAGGAGGAGGTGCCGGGAGAGCCTCCTGTGGCTCCTCCCTCCCGGTGCCAGGACTCTGCACAGAAAGGGGATTGTTATTCCTTTAGCTTTTTAAGTCAGGGCCGTGCTCGCCTTCACCGTAGCCTCAGTTACTGCCCACCTGCTGCTGTGAAGGCAGCTGGCACGTCTAGGGCGGCAGTGTCCTCCTCCCGTCCCACCTTAGGGCTGCGATGGTCGAGCAGAGGGAGCAGACACCAACCGATCCGAGGAAAAGGGGGCCGGACTTCCTTGCACCACCCTCCCAAGAGCCACAGGCGGCAAAGGGACTCAGGCTCCCAGCCCCGCGTGTGCAGCGGGATAAGGTCGCAGGACGCGGCCCGGGGCCTGCCTAGGAAATGTGTGGGCGCCCGGCCAGCGAGCGGAAGCAGTCTCCGCCTTTCAGCTTGAGTTTCAGAACCACCACCGCGAGCGCGGGGCTGGATGTCCGGGGTGCCTGAGGCTCTCCTCCATATATCCTTCCAGCCGGTCCCAACTTGCCACCCAGCCCGGTCTCGACTTACCCGTTCGGGGTGACTCTTCTCGGCTTCGCGCGACTCATTTTCGTCGCCGGCACCCTGACCGTCGGTGGCCGGCGGCTCTGCCTTCTCTGGTCCTTCCTGGGCACGCAGCAGCTCCTCCCGGACCTGGACGCCGAGCTTCTGCAGCTGCTCGTCAGTCTCGGGGTCGACCACCAGCAGGCGCACGGCGTTGAGCGCGGCGCGAATACGGCTCACCACCTGCTGGTGGGTCTCCTTCTCCACGTTCTCGCCGTTCACTTCCACGAGCCGATCCCCGGCCAGCAGCCCTGCCTTCTCGGCCGGTGAGCCGGGCTCCACCAGCCGGATGAACTGACCCACCTTGCCTTTCTCCCCGTGTAGGTGGAAACCATAGCCGTTTGGACCCTTTTCCAGGCAGCAGAGCCGAGGCAGAGGCGACCCGGCCGCCGCGTCCGCCCTCATCTCGCCGTACGCCGGTTCAGCGACTCAACACGGGACCCCTTTAAGGTTCGGGGACTGGACAGCCCAGCCTTTCACCTCGCTCTGCGAACCGGGAGGTGGGGCGGGGAGCGCGGCAGAGAATCCCCGCGCCGTCGGACAGGCAGAAGGAGCAGGTGTCCCAGGAACCCCCGGCCGCCCCGATCCACTGAAGACCAACAGAGAAACGCGAACCTACGCCCCGCGCAGCGTCTGAGCGTTCCGGAGCCCGCCTGGGCCCCTTATTTCGGGGGCGGGGACGCGCCGAGGGTGTGGACCACCGTGAACCAA